AGCGCGGGAAGGAAGCGAACCAACTTGAGAACTCGAAGCAGGCGGAACGTACGCAGGACCGACAACCCGCCGTCAGCCTGACCAATTATCTCCCACACGCTGAGAAGGAGGTGACATTTAAATAGTTTGAATGGTACCTTTGGACTTCAAAAGTTGTCAATGTCTTTAAATTCAGTGATGACGCCAAACACTCAATGGACAAGAGTATGTAGGAGAAAATATTTCGATCAGGGCCATTTATCAAGAGATTTGGGTAAATTGTCTTCTTTTCCAGAGTGACTGCGCCTCGGAAGGCACGATTGCTTTGGTCTGGCGTCGAAGAACCAAACCGGCCAATGAACTCAACCCGTTTGGTCTTGAAAAGTTGTCACTGTCTTTAAATTCGGTGATGACGCCAAACACTGAATGGACAAGAGTATGTAGGAGAAAATATTTCGATCAGGGCCATTTATCAAGAGATTTGGGTAAATTGTATACTTCTTTTCCAGAGTGACTGCGCATTGGTCTAGCGTCGAAGAACCAAACCGGCCAATGAACTCAACCCCATCAAACAATTTTGGGATGAACTACAACAGAATGTGAAGCAGTTTCTCCTCAAATATGGCACAAAAGTCGCCGTCTTGAGTTCCAATGTTTTTGTCCAAATGGCGCGTGTGACGGGTCGCTAAAGGCCCCATTCCATTCCAGAATCAAGGAAATACAGCCGTGAACTTGATCACACGTTCACTTGATGTCAAGTACGTATCCGTATGTCTTGTTGCAATACGCTCTATCGCCGTCATTATATTACGTTATTATGGTGGGTGATTTCATGCATTATGCAACAGTTCCCGACTGATTCATGGCTTCATTATGAGTCGGTCGGCACATTAGAAAGACGGATAGAGCAACGCGTGACAGCTAACGGCTGACAGGAGAAGAAATGCTTTCGGCGGTGACCTAGGGGGAAATTTATGCGCCGAGGACAAGAACCGGGCAGATTACCTGATGATAACAATGATGCTGTCAAATATGTTGTACGGATTCCTGATGTAGCCAAACAGGCCGAAAGCCAGCAGCATGAATCCCATCTCCAAAACAAACATGCTCGTGAAGACGATGTTGCTGATCTCGAGCACATCCGTCAACTCCTCTGGCTTGAGAAAATAAAAAGTAGGTTAGGGATAAAGGTGAGACAAAAACACAGAGACCGCAAAAGAAGAAGTGACTTCATCTTTCCACTCTCGGACTCGAAAGGCGGGAAGCCCTTTGGGGTGTGTGCCCTAAATCAAGCGAGTATCACTCAAGTTCCCGGGCGGTGGTCTGGCCCAATCCATCAAACGGAGCAGAAAAGCGCAAATTTATCAGCACTGATCCCACCGCGGAGTCGGTGATCCGGTAGCATTCAGGGAACGTGCTAGAACTAGACACCCACTGTCTTGATGACACTTTATGACGGAACCAAACATTGTTTACTTCGTAGCTTAATAGTATAGTTGCCTAAGTCATTTTTTTCATGTTTTTGTAAAACAAGAAAAAAAAAGCTACTTTGGGTGTGTTTCTTTTTTAATATTGATGATGCGGTGCTAAAATAAAAACATTCCCCCTCACACGTATGATTAAAGTTTGGTCTGTGAAATGAATAAGGATCGACAATTGGTAGATTGCTGAAACCGAGGTTGAGCTTCAAAGGTGCGTTCCAGGCCCGCGCGTACACGCGGTCTTTAATTGCCCTAACAGGAGGCTTTCAATCTTCATCTTTTGTTAAGAACTCTCACCGACGGTGCGCTCGCTCGAGTGTGGGCGTTCATTACCTGCGCTCCACAACGACAACATGAAAGAACAAATTGGAGAGGTTGCAGGGGGCAATCGCTTCCAATTCACTTTACGCGGCGCATGGCGTGCTCGGGAGTCTCATTCATTCATGTTATTGACAGAGATTTAGCGAACAGGACCCTAATATAAATCAGAGCCAGAAACACCAGGAAACCGCATCTACTGCGATTTGATATCTCGACTTACTTGTCGCAACGTTAGCTTAAAACCGTCCAACATACAGAAAGGAATTCAACGGCACTGAGACGTGTTGTTAAGAGGCCGACTGACCAAGTCATCAACCTGAGCAAATAATCGGAGAAAGTTTCTGTGAAGACGATTGTAGGGATGCTGGAGTAGAAATCAATTTTTAAAAAACAAATTGTGAGCTCAACACGCACATGACCGACGTACTTTTAAAGTGACCAAACGTGAGAATAAACATCCCGTCTCGATCTTTGCTCAGGTCTCTTCTCGTCCCTCTTTTGGATGAAACGCACACATGCAAACATCGTCTCGTTTACCAACATTCCTACACCTCCGCACACAAGTATGCGCTCATAAAAGGAATACGGAACGAGGAGGGCACTCGAGGCAACATCTTTGGCCGTCTACGTGTGTGTAATAAGTCGACGGTTTCCCCCTCATTCTTAATCTTACCTGCTCGTGGTACTCGATCCCCATGCTGAGAGTGTTGACGAGGATGGCGATCATGATCCCCCGGTTAAAGTATTTGCTCTCCACGATTCTCTTCAGTTTCTCCCTGAACTTCATCCATGCCCGAAGCGCTCCGTTCTTGTACTCCAGAGCCCCATGTCGCCTGCCCCGACCTCTCCCGCCCCTCAGATCTCCTCCCTAAAAGTTCAAACAAAGGAACCATCATACCGACGGACCCTAACCAAGTGTGGGAAAACGTTTCCATATGTCACGTATGAATCTGGTTACTTAATATCCGTGCCATATGCAATTGTCAACTCTAATTGTCAAAGACATTTTCATCCTCTCTGTTAGGCACTACGAGTGTTTGCCATCCACAGTGACCTGGGGGAAGTCATGCAGTCCGTCGCCTTCTCCCTTGCAACCCTCCGAGTCGCCCAACTCCAGCTCCAAGGTCTCCAAGCTGCGGGCACACAGAGGGCAGCTCAGTAGTTCCAGGAGCAGCGGACTTGGTACCACGCCCGCCAGCTGGTACAGCACACTCTGGTGACCTGCCAGAGGCATGATGGGAAAAGGGTCACACGTTGCGTAAGGGTTGCGCCCATTGGTGGTCACGTGCGGGAGGGACATGGTGTCATTATTCACTGTTCAGATTTCATTTCGTGAACTGCGCATAAATTCCTTCAGTTGCAGACGTCGCGACACACACAAACACACTCACACGCGAAAAAAATGGAACTTTTAAAAGACGATATTTTCAGAGCGGTCACCATGAGATCTGACGTTCAAAGCTTAAGTGTGATGGCCAAAGCCAGTGTCTTAACGACTTCCAAGCACAGAAGCTTTGATTAATATGTGAGCAGGCAGCCAAAAGTGCCAAAGTGTAAAGATTAAGGTGATTATGTGGGTCTGAATAAATGCAGCGTGCGCCAGCCGCGGTTACGCAGGTGTCGCACGACAATGATCGCTTGACCGTGTCGGAAAGGAAATTGCTGTCTGGAGCCGCAGACCAGTCTCGGGGCGGGCGGTAGCAGATAAGAATGGCATTTAGTCGCGTATAAACTGTCTGCGTCGAGGAGTAATTGGTGCGGTGCTAAGAGGCTTGTTCCTTTATTCGAAAATGTAGTTTAGCAAAAAGAGATGATACGTCGACCCCAAAATGAGTCGAATCACCGCGTGGAGACGTGCGCTGATAGAAGTCTGGGGTTGCTTTTTTCTTGGGTGGATGGGTGGGGGGTGGTAATCTAAGTACAAGTCTGTTTTACAAAGAGCTTCCGTCAAATAGCAGATCCATAAGAGGAGGCTCTGCAATACGCTTTCAACTGTGAGGCAGATGACCGAACCGCATCCAACAGCCTCTGTCACGTCATCCGGATTCCTCAGCCATTTTCTGCAGTTAACCATCCCTCCCCGGCAACCCACTTCATGATCTGATCAGGCTTATTACGCATTATTAGCGTTATGTATCTTGGTTACAAACAATGACCGATTGCACCAATCCTCCCGTTTATCCGCCTGTCGAAGCTCTCCATGCTCACGTGTCCAATTAGCCAAAAGTCAATGGACGGAAGATGGAGAACTGCATCCGATATTCTACACGTGCTGCATGACTTGCTATGTTTGCGTGCGTGTCTTCTTACTATGCTGTCCCACGAGCTGGTAGAGCTTGTTCAGTTTTTCTGTGTGTTCGGATGCCGAGTGGTTGGGCGGATGCTGATCCGGAGCGCAAGCACCTTGCTGGGAGTGAGGCGGAGGAGTCTTGCTGCTGTAGCTGCACACAAACGATGGCAGAATGGTCGGGTAGTTCATCCCTCCGTTTAGCCTCCTGAGCAAGGACCCCATGCCTTGGGTGACAACCGACTGACTGCCGCCGCCGCTATTTCCATTCCGACTTCCTTTACAAACAGGAAGTGACTTCATCTCCAGTTCCACGGCTCCTCCGACGCCGCCTTCCCCGGCCAAATGTTCGGTGCTCGCCACGCCGCTCATGTGCTGCCCCCCGTTGGGGAGCCGACAGTGCTGGTGCTGATGGTGCTGCAGCAGGCTGTGTATTGGCCTCAACCACAAAGCGCTACCCGGGCCCGAGCCCCTGCTGGAGCCGTGGCCATGTCCGTTACCTCCGCCGTTACTGCCCGCACCACTGCCGTTAGGATTCACCTTTTTACGCCGTTTGCTGGTGAGGAAAAGAAAAGACATACAACTGAGCACCTTTCGTTGTTTCTGGTTATGCTAGCATGTATGAAGCTTATGCTAGCAAAAGCTTCCAGTTATGAGGTCAGCTCAAAACTTATGTCTTTTTCATTTTTTTTTTTTTTTTTTGTTCAAAATATCCCACTCTGTCTGCCAACTGAGCACCTTTCCGTTGTTTCTGGTTATGCTAGCATGTATGAAGTTTATGCTAGCAAAAGCTTCCAGTTATGAGGTTAGCTCCAAACTTATGTCTTTTTAATTTTTTTTTTTTGTTCAAAATATCCCACTCTGTCCAATATCTGACCTGTGCCATGCAGAGTATATCCTCTGAAGCCTGCGCGTGAACTTGCGATAAAGGTGACTGATGTAGCGCAGCATCTCCTCATAGCATGAGCCCGGTTCACTGTAACTGGCAAGCGTGGAATCGTTGGACATGTAGCGAGCGCGTTGCTCCCGCATCAGCGCGTTCTCCCGTTGCTTTGTCTCTGAGAATTGGGTGGCGATGACCACGAGGCACAAGTTGATCATGAAGAAAGATCCCACCTAGTTGGGGAGAGGGGGGGGAAAAAAAGAAAACAGACGCATCTTGATAACAAAGCAGATAAAGACATCTGTCACCACCTCGGAATAATGAAATCAACTTATTAACCTTTTACAAGGAAGGAACTGATACCGGTTTATTGTTATGGCCTTGATTTAATTATGATTCAGAGAGCTTAGCTAAACGACGACGATCATAAAACAGACGGCTAATCACTCAAATGTGATAAAGCCTCGGAAATATGAAGCCACGTCTTGAACAGGAAGTGAAGTCATCGATCAACATGCTTATTTGACAAAAATGTGATATGCATGTACTGAGATGTTATTATTTTCGTCTTTGTTTTCTATAATTCATATTGTGGTTTTTTTTCCAGCATCCCCAAAACAGCCTATTTTCTTTATTTTCTATGATCGTCTTTGTTTTCTATAATTCATATTGTGTTGTTTTTTTCCAGCATCCCCAAAACAGCCTATTTTCTTGCCCCCAATTTTCTCAACCGTCCTCCAGATGCATAATACGCATTTTTACATCAAACGTGAGACAGACGGCGAGCTCATCGAGCATCGCAAAAATATGGCTTCAGCTGGGATCTTTGAAAACCTACACAAAAGCGTGATAAGGGAAATTAGACAGGATAGAAAACGACACGGAACAGCAGAAGGGGGGCTGCGCTCAAAGCCCAGCTTAGAAAGGTTATTCTGGGTTACAGAGAGAAGAAGTGAACTGCAAGTACACAAGCACATCTTCCAGGAGCAACATGTTAAACAGATGCAAATTGGCTGAGAAATCAAACCCCAATAGTGCAGACTATACAGAGTCAAGTCAAATGAATGGTATTAAAGAAACGCGGGCGTACTTCTTTAAGTGCTGAGTTCTGTGTTTGTGTCTGCTTTGTTCGAGCACGCGCCTGCAGTTCCTCATAAACGCACTTGCGCAACGCGATCTGCCGCAGGACTCGAGCAAAGCGTTGTCTTCTTTTGTCATGTCAAGGACTATCAATGCGCCTTTCGCACGCGACATTTCGAGGCAATGTGAGGGGCCACTTCGAATGGGAGCCACTCAAGTCGGCTGTCCTCATGCCGACAACGGCGCAAAAGTTTTAGAAATGTGCCAGGCGGGTTTGCAAAAAATACCAACACCTAGTCTAACCTGCCCCTGCATAGATTAAGACACCCTTAAAGTTAATATGATCTGCTGTAAATCTGATGCATACCCCAACATATACAGAATTACTGATACACGAAAATAATTCAGTCATCTTTAATGCGGCAACATTATGACGAAAGAAAACCTTTTTGGGCTGCTCTACTGTGGAGCGATGAAACGAGTGAAACTGGAAAAATGGCGGCTGAATAATTTGGAGTGCAACTTGAATCACACCAGCAGCTCATGCATTTGTTTTTAAACATATCAACAATAAGAGTATCTGGTTGCTAACATTCACAGGTAGGTGTGTGCATCATGACAAAAAAAGCGGATACTTACAATAATTAGAAGTATAAAATATATAAAATTGTAGAATGAATGAGCATCCATGACATAGTACATGATATCCACCCATCCTTCCAGCGTGATGACCTGGTTGAGACAGAGAGAGGTGGAGAAGGAGCCGTCACTCGAGTGAATATTCAGAATTTCACAGTTATACCCTTAAATGGGTGTGTGTGTGATGTGTTAACAGTTTTGTCTGTCACAAACTATACTGTTTGTTTGCATGTGTGCATGCTTGAGCGTGTGAGTGTGCGTGTGAAGTCTGTGCGTGTACGTGTGTGTGCGCCTGGTGTGTGTGTGTCCATTTGTGTGCATGCATCAAAAGGACTGACACAGCTCCTGGGTGGAGTCGGCGTACTAATGAGTACTTGGGATGCTGACACCTGAAACCAACGGCTGAGCTCAGCCAAGCCACTAATAAACTCACAGCTCATCCTTTGCACCTCAGCTTGCAGAGCACATGACAGTCAAAACTGCCCTGGCTGCTATTACATTGTATCGTTAAAAGTGACATTTTCTAATTTGAGGGCTGGTAAATTTTTAATTTGAAGGTGTCCTCTGGACACTCCCAAAAGTCACACCAAAAATACATTCATTCATTTCAGTTCATTGACAGAGAGCCTTGAGGGATTCAAATTTGTATCATCGGCAAAACATTCCAATGAATTTGGAGCGCATCCGTTGAAGGAAATGAGCCCCAATATACAAATATGTTGTTTTTGGTACACGGGCTGCAAAATGCCACGCTACAGAAACCAAGATTTAATCTTGCACTTACTTGAGCACACATGCGTGTTTGCTAATGGTACGAAGTATATCGTGATATTGTACATGCAAAGAGGGAAAAGACGATGAAAGTTGGCACTGATCACGCAGTGTCTACTTTTGAACTCCTTTAAAAGGTAAGAAATACTGAAGCCAGCAAAGCATTCGTCCATTGGGTCCTGCCACAAATGTGCAAGCGGTGCACAGATCAGACGAGTGAGCCATTTGCGAATGGCCGCTGGGCACAGCATGGGAACTCTTGACAACGGGTAAACTGCGCTGCCTTGTCATTGCTTGTTAATGTGACCGATGACTGAAAACAATGACTCAAACATCCTCGAGCAGCAAAGGTACGGGACTTAAGGGTATATAAATGAAACGACTATCGCGTCTTACCTGGAAAATAGCAATCCACGCGTAGCCGATGTTGTCAAAGTTGACAGCTCCCTTATGAGGGTTGCGCTCCCCAGGACGACACACATTGTAGTACTGGTTCCAATTAACACATCCATTGACACTGGCGCCTCCCACTGTCGGGGCTGCTCCAATCACATCTGAACTTTGGTGAGGCGCCGCTAACTGGCACTCAGTCTTGGCCTCGGCGTAGGCCGGGATGTCATGGCAGCGCAGCATACCGTTCTCACGGGGCGCCGAGCAGATGAATGGGCTGTCTTCGCCATCCTCCGACATGTAGTAAGGACTGATTGACAAGTTGTATTTTCTAGACAAGAAAACAGAGACGTTTTTAAAATGCTGACAGCAATAGCAATGGGATCAACGTTCCAAACAAAGTATCCAGTCTAGTTATCCAGGTTTAGAAAAACAACGGAAGGAAGATCATTGTGACAAAGTAATGGAAAAAATTCTAATAGCCCAAAAGCATTGCCAAGGATGTAACAATAAATTTGAGGCGCTCATCATTTTGATTATATTCTAATCCTTCATTGCAGCCTTTGTTTCCCAACCTTTATTGAGGCAAGGTGCCCGTTTTGAATTATTAAAGCCCACCACCAAACAAAAATGTCACCAGAGTGATTAACGCCGACATAATGATGCTTTTGTCTCAATTTATTCGTAAATTTACTGACACCCGCTGGGAAATCCGGGCTTGATAAATGGAGCACAAAGCTGACGTACTCGCAGGAAGTCCTGACTTAGTCCGTTGAGCGGACATCAACAGGTGGAGACGCAAGGTTATTGCCCCGCCTGCCTTCTACTGGTAACGTTTTTTCGACTGTCGGCTCAATGAAGGTTGGGGGAAAACGCTTTAACTAAACTAAGCATGACGACTGAGAGAGAATCAAGAAAGAGTACGAGAGAAAGGAACAGGATGATCATGTTTGCGGAACATGCAAGGGACTTTTGACGTGACGCTTGTCTTCCTCAGGAACAGTTTGTCTGCGCGGGTCGAGAGGGTCGCGGCGTGCGCAGACGATTTGCTCTGTCTTCAGAACAAAAAGGCTCGCTCTAAAATGTCCCGGTGTCCGTTCCTACTGTTACTCTCAGCCTTGAAGGATGAGAGGGTCGCGGCGTGCGCAGACGATTTGCTCTATCTTCAGAGCAAAAAGGCTCGTTCTAAAATGTCCCGTGTCCGTTCCTACTGTTACTCTCAGCCTTGAAGGAGCGAGACGTTTGACAAGGACCTGTCGCGAGACTGCACGACTTACGTCCTGATGTCGGCTCCCAGGAAGCAGCGGTTTCGCAGAAGCCCCGCCCACAGCTGGACCCCAACAATCCCGAAGATGAAAAAGACAAAGAAGCAGAGGAGGAGGACATTTCCCAACATCGGAAGGGTGTCCAACAGGAGCGTCACCAAGATCCGCATACCTACGTGGCGGGAAACAAAACATCGGTCCTATCATATCCATGAATTGCATTTCAACACGTATGGACAAAAAGCGTCGCGTGTGGACCAAACGTCAGCCTGATCTTGACATGAGTGCTCTACCTTGACAACAGATATCGATTGTGTGATTTTTAGCTCACAACTTCGTTACTTTGGCCAAAATAATGAGACTGACTGCCGATGACAAGAGGGAATGTGACAGTCTGACATCATTCCGTCCTCGGGGATTCGAATCCACAGTCCCTGCGGCTGGTGTTACCCAAGCGCATCTGTCAAGCATTCATCTCGACATGTCACAGGAAGTCAACGTCAGTCAAAATGACCGACCGCCCTTCCCATGGAAGCGGCCCAAGTCCGTGGGCACCCTCCGCATTCTTGAATTTCTGATCAGCGTGGGCTGATCAGCTGACATCGAGACGCAAAACACAAACGCGTTCATGCAGACACGCGTCTCGCTTCCCTCAAAACTCGTCCCGCCCCTCGCTCACTCATCTGCTGTTTGCTTTCGTGTCCTCTCCAGAATCTCGGGTGAGGGGAGCTAACGCGAAAACGCAGCGGCGAGCGCCGAGGAGGTCGCAAATGGAGAAATGAGACTCGGCCAGAGAATCAGCAGAAGCCTGACAAACATGGCAAACGCGATCTGCACTGCTCACTGTAACTAAGCTACAGAAGGAAAACACATTAAAAAAAAAAAAAATCGGTCTAACAATGCTCAGTTGTCACGCTCTTCGGCAGAAAGGCAAACAGAGACAGAGTGGAAGCAAAATGGTCGGTGGCAAACAAAGACGCCAAGTGTGCGCGAGGGCAAGCGAGGGTGGTGGCTAAGGGCTGGAAATGCTCGATCTCTTGATGACATTTGAAGGAGACGAATGAGAAATGGGGCAGACTGTGAAAAACACCGAGAGGAAGCAGGCAGGCGGTTAACATCTGTCAGGTATGTCTTGGTCTGTGTACCTTTGAGGAAATGAGCATTTGGGTCTTTCGGGCGAAAGTGCGTCTGACTCTGGCTGCCCTGACCTTAACGACGCTGCACGCACGGTACGAGCTAACCGATGTGTCACCCTCATCCACCAGAAACAAGCCCGCCCCCTTCAGGGAGCCACCGTAGCCAACCGTGCTGTCACAACACCGTTTTTGCTTCACACAAGGCCATTGGCTGCTCTAAAGATTGTCCCAAAGCTGCGTGATAAGGTTGCAGGTTGAACGTTCGCTTCCTACAGACGGAAAAGCAAACAAAGGCGTGTGTTCCTGTGCATGAGAAAGATGGACATTACAGACGGCAGAAAGAAAGAGACGACCCGTCATGCTTCACGACGCGATTTCGCATTTCTGAAGTCCACCAGCTGCGGCACCAAAGAAACCTCTCGGGGTAGCTGGAGGTCAAAGTTTTTTGCGACGCGCTTTGGGCAAATGTTCCAAATGGACTTACTTGGTACTCTGTTGATGGCCCGTAGAGGTCTCAGTACTCGTACAGTACGAATGGCTGAGAAACTGGCATTCTGTCCATCCAGAGAGTACTCCAACACACTAAGGTCACAGATGCAGGAATGACTCTCGAGTTCATACACTTCAAACAGAAATGACGTGTCGTTGCAGAGATAAGACTGAGACACACAGGGCTCGAAAACTCGATATAAGCACATCGAATGTTGTTTGTTTTTCTAATGTCGTCATTTGTGTGGAAAAACGGACACGGCAAAGGGACCGCAGAGTGTTTGTTTTTTACTCGTACAGTCGAAAAAAAACGTGCGGGCAGAAGAGACTAGCATTGTGGGACACCCACCCCGCCATGACGATGACAAAGTCCAGCTGGTTCCACTTGTCGCCAAGGTAACAGTTGCTGCCAAAAATCCCCAGGGCCACCATCTTGATGATCATTTCCACCGCAAAGAAAGCAAATATACAGTCATCCAAAACCTGAAGGGAAAACAGACAGAGCAGAAACCATTTTTGAGCGCCCAAAGAGTAACTTGTTTGACTTCCAACCACACTGATAAAAGAGATGGCGAAGAATCTATGAGTTTTGAAACATCAAGGGCTGATTTTTGTCATCTTATCAGTGTTTTGATGAAATGGAAACTTGCTGCTGCAGGAAAAAAAAAAAAAAAGTAGCTATCAGCCATGCTCAGCTCAAAGCGCATAAAAAGGCACAGCATTTTTTTTTTTGTCTTGCCTTTTTGCCGGTTGTTTAATATATTAGCACTACTTCTCTTTTTATGGCGAATATATATATATGTATATTTTTTTTGCTTCCGGCTTTGTGGGAACAATTTTGGTCACGGGTCTTGTTTAATTGTAATGATTTTCTATAGATTGTATCCGACGTGTTAAAGGCAACATGAAATAAATACGGAGGGGGGTTGGAATCGTCGAGACGAGAGCGTTGGACTAACCTGGAGTATGCGACACCACTCTGACAGGCAGGTGACATCTTCACACGGCTGGAACATCCCCAGGGTGACGCAGTTGAGGAGGATCACCAACATGGACACGTGCTCGAACCACGTACGGGAGACTTGTTAAGGTTCAAACTTTGGTCATCCATTTCAAAATCTTCACTAATACAGAGCGGGAGATCAAACGTAGTTTGAAGTCAAATGTGCAATTCCTGCTGCCACTTAATCTTGAAAAAAAAAAAAAACAACAACAACAAAAAAACTGCCTGCCCTGTCGTAATTGATACTTTCGTTTTACCCATTGGACCGACGAATGTCAAGGTGAGACGCGGCGTTGGGAGAATCGATACAACCTTGATCGCGGTGTGTTAATTAACAATGTGTTGCTTGTCAGGATTGAGGCATGACCCGGGAAAAGAAAAACATACGTCATCAACGGAAGGTCGACCGACTGCTTGTTCACAAATGAAAGACTTGGGTGAATAAAAATGAGAGATATGAATACGTTTCAAACATCATTTGTTGCCCTCCTTCTGCTCCGTTTCCTGTAATTCGTCTTTACTCTCTGCAGTCAACACCTCCTGAGCTCCGCGCACACGTACGTATACGCGCACAGAGACCAAATCCCGCGAGACAAAATGAGCCATCACTCCCCTTTAAATGATTGTTAGGGTGAGGGTTCATTCGTATTTTTAGAACACTGAGGCCAGTTTCCTTCACTTCCTGCCGTAACCTGAACACGTTTGGGGGTGACATCAAAACACCGCCGTGAGACAAAAGATCAACATTTTCGCCATCCCCGTCCGATACACGACTAACGGAACAGAATGATATCACCGCTGGCGTGAAGGCAGAGTGGGAGGTCGAAGGGAAGGCTCACGTGTACAGTCAAGCGCTCCTTTCCTGGCTCGTGAAGGTCAATTTACGTCTCGGAGAATCTCAACAAATTAGTTCTGTGCCAAAGAGCACCGAGTAGTACTTGGTCTTCTGTCGAGAGCAATGAAAATATTGTTTTATGACAACTCATATTCCCGAAGGACTACGGGAAGGTGCTTGTAACCTTTAACCGGACGTTTATTTATCGATAAGAATATCTGAAATGGATGAAAACGCAAACGCTCGCTGAAGGTCAAATCATGACAATGCACGCCTTCAAAGATGGAACTGTCAAGTGATTGACCAAAAATCGGCTACGCACGACAACTGGGTGCACACACGCGGATGGCTGGTGATGAGAGGACTATCGAACGATGCCTTTGCGAACCGCCTGCATGCACAACAACAACAACAACAACAAACATGAATCACACACCGGAAAGGTCTCGAAGAGTTCACGCGAGCGCGCACATGCAACCAAATGCTAAGCCCGCTCCAGCTGAGCTGTCAGGTCAGCGCTGGTGCAGAGAAGAGAGCAGAGCGAGTCGGTCGTCACCGGGACACGAGGACAACAAAGAACCGCGCTCTTGCTTGACGACATCGGAGTAATAACGGTCAAGCGATGGCCATGTTTGTCGGGAGCCGCGACGGAAGTACAAATGGAACAAAGCGATCGTTTAGCGGGCCGACAAAGCTTTCGCGTTTTATTGCGGAGTAGCGTTGAGCAACAGATTGGAAGTCAAAGATTTTGAGAGGTGATCGATTTAGAAATCAGTGTGTGAAGTGTTTTTGTCTTGAAATGTTTCCACTGTCTGCAGGGTGCTAAGGGGGACTTACTTTTGCCATCGCGGATTCAAACCAAGCACTGCACTTTGTCCGCAAGAAAATCTTAAGATGAGATCGGATACAAACGCAATAATGCGACATAAATGCCAAACGACAGCCAACCTGTTTTGCTCTGTCGCCGAGGAAACTGCTCACAGCCAACGTTGTCGTGGTAGTCAAATGGGATTCAAATGACACGATGAATCCTTAAATGGATTGTTCAAATCTGGTCAGCAGTATTTAAAAAAAAAAAAAAAAGAAAATTCTTAATTTATGAGCACCACTGTACTTTTTAAGGACGTTTGAAACAATTAAGATAAGATAAGATAACCTTTATTTGTCCCACACTGGGGACATTTGCAGTTGACAGCAGCAAAATTAGGGGGGGGAGAAAAAAAACAAAGTGTTTCATTGCACAAAATAAATGTTTCAGAAAAGAACTGTACACAGTTCAATATAAATGCAATATTAGAAAAATCTAATAAATTAGCAATAGCATATAAAACACAGCATAAGGCGGCTGCGCTATTTACAATGGTTACAGCTAATTAAAGCTCAGTCCAGCATATAAACATGACAGGGGGTGCTCGTGGAGTTCCTGTACCAATATGTCCTCCTGTCCAACACATACCAAACATCCACGAGCGCAAGAACCCCAACCGATTTTGGGCGCTCTTCACGACCCGCTAACAATGGGCTGCCTTGAGCTGTCGACACCATTTTTTTTTTTAAAGTTGAAAACAGTTGCGCAATGTGTTGCGCCGTCGTCCGTTCAACACGGCACTCGAGCAGCCCATCGCTAATTTGTTGATGAGCTCAATCTCAGGGGAGTACATTTGGTGATTCATCCGACAAGCGGCAGCTGGCATCGGACCGCGTGAGGCTGCTCGTCCTCCTTCTCCCGCTAATGAGCCGCGTTCCCTTTCTGCTGTCCTTACTTCCCTTCCATGCTCTCCTGCTCCCTTGGGAATCCTTTTTTCTCCCCCTCCATTGTTTCCTTTCCCCTTCTGGACTAACATCAACAAGGTCCTGCGCTCATTTTCTCTGCTTCTGTTCCACTCTGTCCGTGAATAACGCGACTGTTTTCCAGTCCGGACAGATCGATTGGATCATTGTTCATTTCGAATCTGCATTCGAGAAGACTTCGCCGCCAAAACAGACCTATTTGAAGGATTTCGCCGACGGTATTGCAGCGCCGCATGCGGCTGGCGCGGTCGCCCGAGCGTCTGCATGTGCAGGAACGCGTGAGCTTCATATCGGCTCATCTCAGAGCAGAAGTCCCCAAAGATGGCAAGAAACAGAAGCTCATAAATCAGCCCTGTCCCTGAACTCGCTCCTCTCTCCCTCATCACCTCCCTCGCTCTTTTCATCTCTCTCTCTCTCTCTCCCCACACCTCCCCGCCTCGCCTCCGACACCCCGGAGAGAAGGCCGAGGCAGGCGTGACGCACTTACGCCAGGATTCCCTTTCTGTCTCTCTTTGCGCTCCGCCGCGAGCTTGTTCCTCTCGCGCGCTCTCGCTCTGTCGTTTTGACCACGAAATGACACATCTCAATGCGAATTCTGCGCGCTGTGGCACAAGTCGCATCACGCGCAAATTGGGGATGTGCGGGTGCGGGTCCATGGGTGTTGCAGGTGTCAAAGAGGATAAAAGGAATCGCAAGTTTCGTGGCAAAGCGTGGACTCGCTGGGCACATGGGCGGAGTTTTCTTTCTTTCGGTTATTTTTGTATGGGCGAAATGCCGTTGTGGGAGCGAGCGCGGCCGATTTACTTCCCGGCCAATGGAAGCGGCGCCTCTCGTTCGCTTTCAATTTAGCGCGAATAATCAGCGGG